AGAAAGCAAGCCAGCCGGTCCGGGCCTCGAACCAGGGTCATCCCTGTGGGAATCCAGCGCCCTATCCACCACACCACCTGCTGGCCCCGTGGTTTTGTGTTTTTATAAAGAGATTTTTGCTATGGGGCACGTGCTCTCACCAGAGACAGCGACATCCCAGGGTGGGGAGCCGGGGGATGGCCACACCGCAGTCCCTTCTCTGTTCTTCTGTGGGCATTTTGGGCATGCGCGCATGCACCCAGTGTGAATCCAAGCTGCCGGGTCTGGGACTTGAACCATAGTTGGCCGTGAGAGCCCAGTGATGTCACCACCATGCCACCTGCTGGCCCAAGAGGTTTGGTTTTTAATCCAGACAGCGTCACATTCCCTTCAGCTCAGCTTTGCTCGCCCTGTGGGCTGAGCACGGAGCAATACAGCCACCATTAGCTCCAGAACATTCCACCACTCCCCAAAAGAAATGCTTCCCAGTGAGCGGTCACCACCCGCCCAGCCCCTGCACTTGCGAAGCCGCTCCCTGTCCTCGGGGACCTGCCTGTTCACGGCATTCCACATAAACGGGGCCCAGCGTGGCCTACCGAGCGGGTGTCTCCCTGAGCACCAGGCGTCCGAGGTGTGTCCACACTGGCCGGTCAGGGCCTCCTCCACCTCTGGTGTGGATGGGCCTTGGGGTGTTTATCCACTCGCCGGAAGGGCACGCGGGTGCCCCCACTCTTTTCCTGTATGTTCTTGTCATGCCACCTTTCTGGTCTCGTGACCCCATGCGGGCGCCTGGGTGGCCGAGCGCTCGCTCCTTAGACGGGCCACGGGACTGCAGGGCTGTAGCTCACTCAATGTTGAACTGAGTTTTGGTTTTTTTTTGAGAGGTTTTTGCTATAGGGCACGTGCGCTCGCCAGACAGACAGAAACAGAGAGACAGAAAGTGAGAAATCACCCCCCAGGGGGGATGGCCACGCCACAATCCCTTCTCCTCCATTCTCCTCTCGGGATCTTGGGCACGTGCCCGGCATGAGTTTAGGTCGCCGGGCCCAGGATTCGAACCACGGTCAATGACACGGGAGCCCAGCAACATAGCCATTACGCCAACTGCTGGTCCCGGAACCGAATTTTTAAAACTTGAATTGGGGTGGGAGAAATCACCTCCCAGGGGCCGGCCCTCCCTCTGCAATCCCTTCTCCATTCCCCCCTAGGGATCATAGGAGTTAGGGAGACGCATGGGCACAGACCTGGTGGTGTTCCCCAACTTGCCCGGTCCAGGACTCGAACTGCCACCAGTCCTGTGGGATGCAGCCACCTCAGCCGCCAGGCCACTGCTGGCCCATATGCTTTTTTCTAAGAGTTATTAATTTTATTATTTATTTAAAATTTTTTTTGACCAGAGTGAGAGAGGAAAAGCGAAAAAGCAAGCCGCCAGGTCTGGGACTGGAACCACGGCCGGCCTTGTAGGAGTCCAGGGCCTTCACCACCACGCCCTGCCACCTGCTGACCCCAGGCCCTTTTTTTTTTTTTTTAAAGAATTATTTACTTTTATTTATCCATTCATTTTGCTAGAGAGATCATGGCAGGGGGAGGGAGAAAGCAAGCCACCAGGTCCAGGACGCGAGTCCGGGTCGGCCGTGGGCGGTCGGCCAGTGCCTTCACGCCCCCTGCCGGCCCCTGGTCCCCACTGCTCGAACTCCGAGCTGCTGCCCCATTTCCACAGTGCCCTCGGGTTGGTTTGCCCGCGTCCTCACGTCTGTCACCAGTGTCACTCGCTACACCAGTGGGTGGGAGCGGTACCTCCCGGTGGCCGGGCACGCACTTCCCGAACGCCTGCTCGGATGGGGACAGTCCCGAACCGCGGGGCCCCGTCTTGCCTGCACCCCCCGGCCCAGCAACGGCACCAGGCTGGGGGCCTGAGCTTCCTCCTCGTCCCTCTCGAATCCGGACCTCGGGCCAGTTCTCCTGACCGCCACCCCAACGCACTTAGGAAAAGGGCACAGGACAGGAGTCACCTGGGTGGCTTCACCTTGACCGTTTTTATTTGCATTTTTTAAAAACAATTAAATTAGAATACAAATATTAGAAAACGGCGGCCCTCGGCGGCCAGTGCGGGCGGAGGGCCGGCTGCGCGCCCAGTGTCCTCGGCGCCCGGGCCCTCGGCAGACCCCTCCTGACTGCGCCTGAACCGGTATTGCTTCCTGCCGAGGGCATCTTCTCTCCACGGAGGGCACCTCGGGTGGGGAGCAGCGAGGGCGGCAGTGGTCTCGAGCCTCCGCCCGGCGCCTCGCCGGGGCAGGGGGCGGGGGACAGGGTGCCGGCCGGGCCTGGAAGCCCCCACAGTGCCGGAGCCCTGAGGCCAAGGACCCGGAGGCGATCCCTCCCCGGGCGGCAGGGGGACTGCAGCCACCCTGGGCAGGGCTGCCTTGGTTCCTGGGGGCTGCAGGGCGACCCCGGCCTGGCCCTGCTGGAAGACCGAGGCTCCCGAGGGAGGCGGTGCCAGGCTGGCCTGGTACCCGGCGGAAACCCAAGAGCAAGAAGGAGGAAAGGGACCACCCCGATCAAGAGACCAGGCGGCCGGAGTCCCTGCCGGAGCAGTGGCCGCCCCTGCCCGGGCTGGCAGCGGAGCGTCTGTGCTGTCCCGCAGGGGAGTGAACCTGAATTGGAGTTACCGAGGTAGCTGGCTAGAAAACTGACCCCCCCACGCCACGCCGTGCCGTGCCGCGCCCTGGGCCCCCGCCTCCCCGGGGTCTGGCCACACACCGGGCCTTCAAAAAACCAAGTTATTGCACTTTCAAAACACGGCACGTCTGTGGCTCGGCCCTCCCCGGCCGCACCCCGCGCCCTCCTGCACCCCCACCCCGGCCCACTCCATGGCTTCTTGGCTAAGACGCTGGCCGCTTGGCGGCGGGCTCCAGGGTCTCTGGGCGAGAGGA